ACTTTAAAATTTGTTGTGGAAAGAAAAAATTTGTAGCTTTCGTTTTTCTGGAAAAAATTGAGTTGACCCTTTTTCGAACAAAAGTTAGTATGTAGTGCTAACATGACACCATGCCCCATTGACGAGAGAACTGAGATATTGAAAAGGTTACAACGGCATTAATTGTAGCTTTTCTGTTGTAAATTTGTTGTGGAAAGAAAAAATGTGTAGCTTTCGTTTTTTAAGAAAAAATGGTATGTAATGCTAACTTGACACCATACACCTAGTCAATAGAATTGAGATATCCAATATGTTACTATGCCATTAATTGTAGCTTTTAACTTTAAAATTTGTTGTGGAAAGAAAAAATGCAAGCCCTGAGTAGAAGAATACGTAGCGAATGTAGCCCTATGGACGAGCAACTTCTGAAATACTTCGCCAACCTAAACGGGGTTAGATCGCCGAAACAACAGCCCTTGGCCGGGTAAAACCCGACGACGAGTTGCCTTCGGCGGACGTTTTAGAGCGACTGTTAATAAGAAATCGATACAATGGCGATATTACCGGTAATAAATTGGTTTCCGAGGGTTAACTCTACATTCATGTAATTGACATTGTAAAATATGTAGTTTCCGTGTACGCATGGTATTCTGGGTTTTGGTATAATATATAACATCCAAAGGTTAATCAAGTCAACCCAAGATCTCAAAATGGGAAAATTTTTCTTTCATACTTCTGGCATAAAGGCAACGAAGGGAAGAAAAAAAATGCTTGCCACCCATCCACAATAGCCAAATGTATATCGGCGGCGAAAGAACTGGGTATCCCTACTGCTATAAAGAGCACTATTTTTAAAAGCCCTCCACCCTGTCAACCAATAAGCAGGTACATTTATTCGAACTTGGTAAAATACCGTAAAAGCGAAACCAATCCATCAGTATACCAGCAACTTTTTATAGAGCTTACAACAGATTTACAAAACAAGGGATGGAAATTACTTTACTCCGACGCATCCAAAGATAAGTCTCAAACCGCTTATGCTGTCGTCGACTCTAAATTCTCCACTATTTGCGCTGGGAATCTCTTTGACTTTTGCTCAATATATACAGCTGAAGCAGTAGCGATATTACAGGCAGTTGAATACACACATAAAACAAAAGGAAAGTGGGTTGTATGTACTGATAGCCTCTCCACAATAAATTCGCTGGATAATGTCAGAGAGAATAACCACCTACTCAACGCAATACGACACAAGTTGCTGGAGCGTAAAGGGTCAACGAGAATCATGTGGATTCCTGGCCATGTAGATATCAAAGGAAACGAAGCTACTGACCAGAGGGCCAAACTTGCAACAATTGAACCTCTTTGCACTTCCGAATGGTTCCTGAAAGACGACATTATACGCTTGGTACATGCACACATACCGACCGAAAGTGCACACAAATTTTTAAATTCGCAACACCATTATAGTAAGTTTACTACAAAGGGAAATTAACTTTACGACTCAAACATCTCTTGCAATGATTTGAAAACAGTCACCCGGTTACGTATTGGCCA